TATATATATAAAGTACAGCGGTGTTTACGGTCATTTATTGACGAAGCCTATATTGTCATGACATATTATTTTTCAGGTACTTCTCCTTTCGACTGTTTTTGTGATAGCAGTGCACGGAGCTCCTCAAATCCCTGGAATGGGCAGCATGATACCTGGAATGGGCAGCGGCGGAATGCCTGGATTCGGCGGTGGAATGGGTGGGGGTGCTAATATGGGATTTAATCTTGGAGCAAAGGCCGATATGGGAGCCGGAGGAGGAGCAGGAGGAAATGCAGGAGGAAATGCAAATATGGGAGCAGGACTGGGATTTAATTTGGGTGCCGGTGCCGGTGTCGGTGGTGGCGCTGGAGCTGGAACTGCAGCTGGAAGAAAATGAATAAATGCAACTACTTTTGTCAATTCTATTAATTTTAATTTGTAGATAGTATTGTATAAATTAAAATGTTTCAAAAGTCTGATTGAGTGAAATTGTTTAAAACTATTTTTGTTTTGATATTGATTTTATACAAACATTGGGTGGAAAAAACAATGTTATTATCATTTTTACAACTGTTTTTTTTTTTTTTTTTTTTTTTTTTTTTTTTTTTTTTTTTTTTTTTTTTTTNTTTTTTTTTTTTTTTTTTTTTTTTGCATTTTTGAACTATTAACTATCACTAGAGAAAAGTACCTAATTTAAACGAACTCATAATAGCATACATAAGATCGGGTGTCCTGGAATGGCTCTGTTACTTATTACTCAAAATGCATGTAAAAAATTTTTTTTAACAGAATAACAGAACTGTTTCACAATTTCGCATTCAGTTGTATGAAAGCGCACTTTCATGCTAATTTTAAAAAGGGTTTTGAAGTAGAAAGGTAAATCCTTAATTCGCTTTTTAATGCTACCTAACTTCTACTTTAGACTATTTTTATGCATTATTTTCTTAAAAAAAATTGAGATATTCTGTTCCTCATAAATGTACACATCACAAATTTTCATTTACAAGTTAATTAATAATTGGTACAAGCAAATGAGTTCACAGGGCCTCTCTCTCTCTCTC